TAATTCAAAACTGGTTGCAGCAATATATTGACAGAGAACTTCCAGAAATGCAAGCTGGATTCAGAAGAGGATGTGGAATGAGGGATATCATTGCTGAGGTCAGATGGATCTTGGCTCAAAGCAAAGAATACCAGAAAGGTGTTTACTTGTGTTTTATTGACTAAACAAAAGCATTCAATTGTGTGGATCATAACAAATTATGGATAACATTGAGAAGAATGGGAATTCCAGAACACTTAACTGTACTGGTGAGGAACTTGTACATAAACCAGGGGGCTGTCATTCCAATAGAACAAGGGGATACTGCATGGTTGAAAATCAGGAAGGGAGTATGTCAGGGCTGTATCCTTTCACTACACTTATTCAATTTGTATGCTGAGCAAATAATCCAAGAAACTGGATTACATGAAAAAGAACGTGGTATCAGGATTGGAGGAAGACTCTTTAACAACCTGCAATACACAGATGACACAACTTTGCTTGCCGAAAGTGAGGATGACTTGAAGCACTTATTGATGAAGATTAAAGACTTCAGTCTGCAGTATGGATTACACCCCAATATAAAGAAAACTAAAATCCTCACAACTGGACCAATAAACAGTTTCACAATAAATGGAGAAAAGATTGAAGTTATCAAGGACTTCTTATTACTTGGTTCTACAATCAACACTAATGGAAGCAGCAGTCAAGACATCAGACAACATATTGCATTGGGTAAATCTGCTGCAAAATACCTCTTTCAAGTGCTGAAAAGCAAAGATGTCTCCTTGAAGACTAAGGTGTGCCTAACCCAAGCCATGGTATTTTCAGTCTCCTCTTATGCATGTGAGAGCTGGACAATGAATAAGGAAGATTGAAGAAGAGTTGATGCTTTTGAGTTGTGGTGTCGGCGAAGAATGCTGAAAGTACTGTGGACTGATAAAAGGGCTAACAAATCTGTCCTAGAAGAAGTGCAGCTGGAATGCTTCTTGGAAGCAAGAATGGCCAGACTTCATTTTACATACTTTGGTCATGTTGTCAGAAGGGACCATTCTCTGGAAAAGGATGTCATGCTTGGTAAAGTAGAGGGTCAACAAAAGAGGGGAAGGTCCCCAATGAGATGGATTGACACAGTGGCTACAACAATGGGCTCAGGTACAGCAAGGACCATGAGGCTGGCACAGGACCAGGCAGTGTTTCACTCTGCTGTGCCTAGGGTCACTATGAGTCAGAGACGAGTTGGTGGCACCTAACAACAACAACAAAGAAACAATTAGTCCAAGGAACTAATGGACCACATGAACCGCAGCCTGCACTAGCCTGAGACCAGAAGAACTAGATGGTTGCCTGTCTACCGCTATCAACCACTATGATCAGGATCACAATAGAAGGTCCTGGACAAAGTGAAAGAAAAATGCAGAAGTCAAAAAGAAACAAACAAAAAGACCAGACATACTGGTCTGATGTGGTGGAACTTCTGAGACTATGGCCCTTAAACACCCTTCCAACTCAGAAGTAAACCCACTCCTAAAAGATCACCTTATGGCCAAACAATAGGCAGGCCCATAAAACAGTTGTTTCCTAAAAGAACATGTTCCTCAAATATTCGACTACGCAAGACCAAAAGGACAGCATTTGCTCAAAAGCAAAATTCAGAAGGCAGGACGGGCAGGTAAGCTGGGCAATGGAGAATCCAGTGGGGAAATGGGGAAAGTGCAGACACTTTTAGAAGATTGTAATCAAAGTCATGAAACAACCCATGTATAAATTATTGAATAGGAAACTAATTTGCTTTGCAAGCTTTCACCTACCATAAAATTTTCAAAAAAGAAGAAGACCCATGAAAGTATTTTATGTATTTCTCATCTCTCCTTACAGTATAAAGGCCAACTATCTTGGATCACACCCAATAAATTTTTTTTTTTTTTTTTTTTTTTTAATGAGGAAAGACTATGATGTAGCACAAGGTACAGATTTTTTTTTGTTTGTTTTTTAATTTCTGGTTATTGAGTTGTGGTGTTAGAGAATAATAAGATCCTATGGTATCTTTTAAATTGCTTTTATTTAAGCTCAAATTCATGGAAGAGTAATTCATCAACCTGGGAACTCAAACACAGATCTTCATTCATGCAACATTTTTTTTTTTTAGCAAAATAGATGCCAAGCACTTTCTCATTTTCCTTTTTTCCCCTCCATTTTTCCATGAAAATCAAGTTGCCTTGTGTTCACCATTATCAGTCTTACAAAACAATAGAATTCATATTTAGAAAATTGTGCTATCAACCAAGGATGACTTGCATTTATCACTTGCAAATCACATAATTCCAAAGGTGTAACATATAGGTATCTTTAGGAACTCTGGTGGCATAGTGCCTAAGGCACTTGACTGCTAACCAGAAGGCTGGCGGTTCAAACCCACCAGCCACTCCTTGGAAGAAAGGTTGGGCGATCTACTTCTGTAGCGATTCTGCTTCAGAAACCCAAGGAGGGGTCACTATGAGTTGGGTCCGACTCGAAGGCACATAACAGCAACAATAACATAGATATCTTTAATGAAGAGCCCTTCTGCCTTTGATAAATCTCCCAAATACCCTGGTATTCTATTTTCAAAGGCATCACTCTATTACTCTCCTAATGCTGACTTTCTCAGGTCTCTGATGACAGGGGTGGATGTTTTTATTTTACTCTCTTCCTTATGCATTCTAGATAATCCCAGGGTGATCTCAGGGTCCCCAGAACAACAGATGGAGACTTCAAGGTAAAGCTTCCAGTTAGAGCCTTTCAAACCCACTGCCATCAGTCGATTCCAACTTACAGCAACCCCCATTGGGTTGCCACGGCTGTAAATCTTTAGGGAAGCAGATTGCCTCATCTTCCTCTCACTGAGTAACTGGTGGTTTGGACCACAGACCCTCTGGTTAGCAGCCAATTGTCTTACAGAGCCTTTCAGGATCTTCTAAAATAATAATGTTGTTGTTGTTGTTGTTATGTGCCGTCTACTAAACCAAAACCAAACTCACTGCCCATTGAGTTGATTCTGACTCACAGTGACTCCCACTGGGTTTCTAACACTGTAAATTTTTATGGAAGCGGACTGCCTCATCTTCAGATTCCCTCACCTTTCTTCTGGGGAGCGGCTGGTGGGTGGACCCACCGCCTTTCGGTTATCAGACAAATGCCTTCACCACTACACCACCAGAGCCCCTTTAAAATAATGACAACAGCCTCCAATTGAATGATAGTCCAGCCATCTCAGTTGATGCTTATAATAACCCAGTGAAGAAAATGTTAATGAATCTTGGGAGAGGGGTAATTCACAACAAGCTTCAAGAAGTTTCCTCAGATGTATTATCATTCACGTTTTACAGATAAGAAAACTGGAGTTCAGAGACCACCATCTATCTTTTATAAAACCTTATTGAAGGCACAAATTCACTGCTCCTTGATTACCACATGTGTAATGCTTTTGTCACTACTGATTCAGTAAAGAAATCAACATGTGCCACTTAAGGAGTCAAGGCAGGAAGGGATAAGGATTGAGGTGCACTTTAGTGTGTGGAGTTCCAAATTGGTAATGTTCTGGGAACCCATAAAATTGTTCACCAAGCAATGCCTTAGGCTCATCTGAAAAGAAAGGGGCGGGGGAGAAAGAGTGAGAGAGAAACCAAAAGGTCAGATCAATGCTTATTTGAAGCTTCCTTCTTAGTGCTCTCTTAGGCCAGACTTGTTCTAGCTCCCTTTAGTGAAAGAACCTTCCTGGTAGACACTACGAGATGAAAGATGGTTCTTCACTTCCACTCAAAGTACAATCAGGCAGGCATTGGTGAAGACAGGTTTATTCATCCATTCAGCTTTAGCTGGCTTTGTTTCGTGTAAAATTTCACTGTTGGTTATTAATATATTCGCTGTAGGAAACAAATTTGTAACCCGTTTCTCATATTACCTACACACAGAAAAACAAAATTTGATATCCTGGGGTTTATTTGCTGAGGGCGCTTCCCATAAAAGCGAGTGAGTGTGCATTAGGAAATTTGTCTGGTTAACTCCTTTATGGATAAATGTTAGTCACAAGCGTTTTACCCCTCCCCCGGCTCACGCCCCCAGCACCCTCCCTTCCCGCCTCTCCAAGGCTGGTGACCTAATAGCATTTTTCTCCTTGCATATTTTGGCGTCGCCCCATGGCTTGGCTGGCTTCGTCTGTCTGAGTCTTTTTAAATTCCTGCATGTTCGCCCCAGATTAAGCTTAGTGTGTCTCAGGATGTGTGTTCCGTTTTCTTCTTTCCCCTTAACTCTCTGTTTGCAACGTGTCTAGGGGGAGGAGGAAGGGACAGGGAGGGGAGGAAGGGGCAGAAGCGAGGAGCTGTCAGCCTTGCACATTTCCAATCTCATTACGTGAACAAATAGCGGAGGGGCGGCCGGGCCAGAACGGCTTGTGTAACTTTGCAAACGTGTCAGAAAGTTTAAAATCTTTTCTTCTTTTACTCCAGACACTGCCTGCTCGCCGAGGCCGCCGGGCCGCTCCCCGCGGACTTCTAGAAGGACTGGGAAAAGGGAAACAGCCGACGCCACGTCCGAAAGGTCGTCTTTACTGGGGGAGGGTCTCCAGCCCACTGCTTGGTGGGGACTGAGATAGATACCCGGTTTAGCCCGCCTCCTTGGCTGGATGATTTTTCCCTCCCTCACGTGATTTGAGCCCCGTTTTTATTTTCTCTAAGCCACGTCTTCCCCAACTGGGTACAATCCGGCAAAGGGAGCGATGCGCCTCGCCTGGACCGCGCTTCTTCTCGGTCCGCTGCAGCTCTGCGCGCTCCTACGCTGCGCCTCTCCCGCTGCGGGCCAGCAACAACCCCCGCGTGAGCCGCCGGCAGCTCCGGGAGCCTGGCGGCAGAGGATTCAATGGGAAAACAACGGGCAGGTGTTCAGCCTGCTGAGCCTGGGCTCGCAGTACCAACCTCAGCGGCGCCGGGACCCGGACGCCGCCGCCCCGCAGCCGCGCACGCCAGTCTTGCTGCTCCGGAACAACCGAACTGCGGCAGCGCGGGCAGGCGGCTCGTCTGGAACCGCCGCCGACCGCCCCAGGCCCGCCGCACGTCACTGGTTCCAAGCTGGCTACACGCCCTCCGGACCCCGCGGCGCTGGGAGTTCGCGTCCCAGCAACAGGACTGCTCCAGGAGAGCGCCCAGCACTCGGTAACCTGCCGCCTAGCCGGGTGGACGGCATGGTAGGGGATGACCCATACAACCCTTACAAGTACGACGACAACCCCTATTACAACTACTACGACACGTATGAGAGGCCACGGCCTGGGGGCAGGTACCGGCCTGGATACGGCACCGGCTACTTCCAATACGGTAAGCATCCCCAAGTCCACTGGTCGCACCCCTGCCCCCAACTATATGGTTCCTAGACTTAGCTGCCTGGGCGCGGCGGGCCCTGGCCCCCGCAGATACCACCCCTCCCCCAGCGCCTGCAGAAGCAGCCCTGGAATCTGGTGAAAACCGCGCGCGCCTGGCTCCTCCAGCTTCCTTTCCATTTTACTTTGCAGCCCCGGCTGTTACTTGTTTTCTCGCTTCAGCAGCCCCACTCCGCGGTCTCGGTGGTTGAGGGGTGAGGAGTAAGGGACCTCAAGGGACCGGGAGTCATTGTGGAGGGCGCGGGGTTGTCTCACTACTGTGTCCGACGCTGCTGGAGTTTAGGTCTCCCGGACCTGGTGCCTGACCCCTACTACATCCAGGCGTCCACGTACGTGCAGAAGATGGCCATGTACAATCTACGATGCGCCGCCGAGGAAAACTGCTTGGCCAGGTAGAGGTTGCTGTGGTACTTGGTTTCTCCTGTTCCGTGCACACAAGATCTGGGAAGTGGGACGTGACCCTCCTGGGCGTGCTGATCTAGACAGTTAAATTTTGAAGATTTCTGTGGTCTGTGCCTCTCAAACTATGGCCAGATCAGGAAAATAGAGAAAACCCTTATTTTAGAAACTGGAAGTCTCGTGTTCTTTTTCCAAGATTCTTAAACTTTGTAGCCAACTGTTTCCAATAACGTGGATAAAAAACGTCATTGTAGTGGAAGAGCTTGTCAACATCCCTTAAAAGATTGGAGGCCAGTTTGCCCCTGTGGCATACCTCACTGGCAAAGGTTAAGTTTTCCCCTTTTGTTTGAGGCGGCGATTGACTTTGTTGTTTTGGTGTTACTTCAGCCAAAGAAGACCATGAGCAAGAACTTTGTTTTTCCATCAGTCCTAATATAAAATCTGGTAGCATAGTGCCTAAGGCACTTGACTGCTCACCAGAAGGCTGGCGGTTCAAACCCACCAGCCACTCCTGGGAAGGAAGGTTGGGCAATCCTACTTCCGTAGTGATACTGCCTCGGAAACCCAAGGAGGGGTCGCTATGAGCAGGGGCCAACTCGACGGCAAACAGCAACAGCAATATAAAATCGTAGCAGTTTTGAGAATGAGTTTGCTGCTGGGAAACCAGCAGAGGGAGCAAAAGATGTATTGAAAGGTCTCATGAAGCTTGTAAAGTGTAAAGTAAGGCCATCAATAGTACTTGAACCTGTATTCACAAAAATATATATTAGAAAGAATGCAGTTATGTTTATTTGTATATTTCTTCCATATTGGCCTTTTATAACTGACAGGCTAAAGGAAGAGAATAAATTCAAGCTCATAATTTTCATTCCTAAGTCTTGCTTTACTCACACCATTGCATTTCTTATGATATTAGTATATTAATGCTTGTTTTGTAGGTGGTGAAGTTATAAAATTTTTTATCTAAATCTGGATGTGTATTTTTACAGTTATTTCCCCACTTTGCCTCTTAGTTAACTGTCTAAGAAGAAATGTGTTGTAAAATTCCAGTTCTTTAATAATGAGTAAGGAGGTGTGATGGAGCACTGGTTAAAGCATTTGGCTGCTAACCAGAACGTTGGCGGTTCATACCCACCAGCCACACCTTGGGAGAAAGATGAGGCACTCTGCTTTGGTAAAGATTACAGCCTTGAAAACCCTATGGGGCAGTTCTCCTGTGTCCTGTAAGGACATGCAGGGGCACTATGAGTCAGAATGGACTCCATGGCAGGTGGTTTTTTATTTGAGATAATTTCCACCTCAGTTTTATTAATTCATATTGTTAAAATTGAACTGATTGTACACTTATCCCTAGTAAATTTTTAATGCTAATATTATTATATATTTTAGTTTTAAGCTCCGGGGATTTCCAAACTTATCATTCATTCACTCACTCAAAAAATACTCACTGAGCTCTAACTTGAAAGACACTATTCTAGAATCTGAGGAATTGGCAGGATACAAAATAAAATGTCTAGACACATGGAACTAATAGCCAACGTGAGGGAAGAAGATTGCTGCTGTTATAAGGTTTTTTTTTTTTTTTTAAATAGGTCTGTATTTAGCTAATACATTATTCTTTTTTCAAAATTACAGTTCAGCTTATAGGGGAGATGTCAGAGATTATGATCACAGGGTGCTGCTAAGATTTCCCCAAAGAGTGAAAAACCAAGGAACATCAGATTTCTTACCAAGCCGACCAAGATATTCCTGGGAGTGGCATAGCTGTCACCAGTAAGTGGATGATCTCTCTGGGTACATTGGAGTTGCTTTTTTATCTTTCAGGTAGTTCTTGATATGACAAATGCAGATCTTAATTTCTGAAACAAGCAAACAAAAAACAAACAATGCTGTTCTTTCCATTCAAAAGTCTCTGTAATTTTACATAATCAAGACAGGTTAACATTAGGATCATCCACCAACTACTAGAGCTACTTTTGAACTCTAAGTCTAGCTTTTTAAAACTTGAAAGAGTACAGCATTTGACATCAACAGAATTTTACTCCAATTAGGATATCTAAAATATTCCATTACAACCAAGGTCATTATTGTTAGTTAGCATTTAATAACGATCACAACTGAGAGGTTTAGGACTGTGTTATCAAGAAGAGTCAGATACCATTCTCATGGAAAGATGCAGATAATACACTCCAGGAGCTGAGGATGATCGTTCTCTATCTCTTGAAAGGCCTGTACCGAAACCAAGGTAGTTGGCTGGTTCTGTTACAAATTTTTAAAATTTCACATAAAGTAATTCTATAATTTGCCCTGGTAACTTGCCAGGTGTTTATGGTCAGGAAATCCTGATATGTGTCCTAAACTTTCTTTCTACAATGCAAGCCATTTCCTCTGGTCTTTTCCTTATGTGAGAAAATGACTAGTTCTATACCTACCATCTCATGAAATAAGATAAGTATACATGAGCCACCTAATTTGCTGTGAAAATAGAAATATTTTATTTCTAAATAAAAGGTTATGCTATTTAAAGAGTAATAGTGGATTAAAGATGGCACTATTTTGCATTTTATTTATGATTTTAAATGTGACAATTTGATTTTTCAAAATATAGCAACCTCCCATGTGTTATGTGCTTATATTTTTCCACATGAAACCTCAGTGGTGGCAGGCAAAAGAAATTTACTAGAGAACACATTGGAAGTTCCATTTAAGTACAGTTAATTTACTGCTAAGAGCCCTGATGGGATAGTGATTAAAGCGCTTTTCCACTAACCAAAAGGTCAGCAGTTTGAACCCACCAGCTCCTCAGGAAAAAGATAGATAGTCTGGGAGCTCTGGTAGCATAGTGCCTAAGGCACTTGGCTGCTAACCAGAAGGCTGGTGGTTCAAACCCACCAGCCACTCCTCAGAAGGAAGGTTGGGCAATCTATTTCCATAGTGATACCACCTCGGAAACCCAAGGAGGGGTCACTATGAGTCGAGTCCAACTCGATGGCACATAACAAAAACAACAACAGTCTGCTTCCTTAAAGATTTACAGCCTCAGAAAACTATGGGGCAGTTCTACTCTGTTTTCCAGGGTTGCTGTGAGTTGGAATTGACTTGATAGCAGTGGTTTTGGTTTTGTTTGTTTTTTGGACTTTACTGCCTATTTCTATTTAATATTAAAAGATAAATCAGGTCACACTATAAAAACAAAAGGACTCAAGTGAAGTCATTTTTCCTTATTTGTAAAGTTAAAAACATACCATGTTAATAGACTTTTGTCAGGGGGGAAAAAGTCTAGCATGGATCTGTCTTTAAGAAGAAGATAAATTGATCTCAGTTTTAATGTGAAAACAAATATGTGCAGCAACAGATCATTTTCTTATTACTTTCTCTGAGTGTAACTGACCTCTGACTCTATGTTGTGTGGGACATTAGACATTACCACAGCATGGATGAATTCAGCCACTATGACCTGCTCGATGCCAACACCCAGGCGAGAGTGGCTGAAGGCCATAAAGCAAGCTTCTGTCTAGAGGACACATCCTGTGACTATGGCTACCACAGGCGATTTGCCTGTACCGCACACACACAGGTGAGTTGGCATCCAGAAATCAGAAGCCCACAGGCTTCAGAGAGAAAACAAAGTGGTCAACTACTTTCTTTCCTCCTACTTCTCCTATATAAACTGTCTCATTTAGGAGGTCATCCATCCAGTCAAGATGGAAATAACTTAGAAAAGGAAAGTGATGGATTGATAATCCAAATTACTCTTAAAGTATTTCCAGCTATATATATAGCTCCTACTCATAATCACAGGTCAATGTGTACACTCTTTCTCTTCCAAGATGCAACGCAGCAGTTTATTCTTTGAAAATTGAATGGTTTATAATACTTACATTCATGCTATATTCTTTAACTGGCTTGGTGAGTAACTGTAGACAAGATACCTCTGTTTCCCCCCCCACACACACAAAATCATTCCTCCATCCACCTATTAAATTAAAAATAGGATGGTGACTGGGGATAACAAAAAGAAGGAGTAAGTTTCTTATAAACTGCCTTTGAAAAATTTTGTCTTTTAATAACATAAATACAAGCAGAAAGAAACAATTTATTTCTCCATGCATATATGTTTAAGCCTACACTATAATTGATAACAGATGTCATTTGGATGGATTTTTAAAAGTAGTGCTGAACTAAGCAGTTTGTATGTTTTATAATTGGAAAATGCATGCCAGTTAAAAGCCATGTCAGTATTTCCATAAGAAACCCTATTTTGTGAAAGGACATTATAATTTTACTCCAGCCCAGATTTTGGCAAGGAATAGTGCATATATATAACCCAGGGCACAAAAGGATCAGCAGCTGGGATCTTGGGCAGCAAATTCCAGGGCTGTGACAGGAAGCTTTTTGGTGACCTAAATTGCTTTTCTCTCTGTGCTTAGAACATCATAGCGATTGGAGGGGGGAA